TTTCAGGTTAATCCAGCCTCTAAATCCTCTAGTGGCTGTCTCGTTGACCGCCGCTATAGGCGTTTGCGTGCTTCTCACTGTGAAAATCACAGTGAGAAGACGCCAGCGTCCATAGGAAAGCATTATGAATGCTTTCCTATGAGATGGCTGAATGCGCGCGCAGCTCCTGCCGCGCATGTGCATTCAGCCGAAGAGGAGTATCGAAGGCGGAAAGGAGGAGGAGAGCTCCCCGCCCGGTGCTGGAAAAAAGGTAAGTTTAACCCCTTTCCTTTCCCCAGAGCCCGGCGGGAGTGGGACCCTGAGGGTGGGGGCACCCTCAGGGCACTATAGTGCCAGGAAAACGAGTATGTTTTCCTGGCACTATAGTGGTCCTTTAAGCGTGTAAGAGTGATTTAGAGAAATGAGAACAAAATGCCATATCCAAATAGGTTTCTTATGAGGTTTAAAGATACACTTTAATATGACTGATAAAACATAACATTTAATCAAAATTCTATTAAAAAGGTATACAAAAATATATAATCAAAAAAGACAAAAGGGAGAAACAGAACCCACTGACTTTCTCTTGGTACATACAGGGGTTTCACAGAAGGTAAGTTACATATAGTTATATAGTTACATAGCTGAAAAGAGACTTGCGTCTATCAAGTTCAGCCTTCCTCACATTTGTATTTTGCGGTTGATCCAAAAGAAGGCAAAAAAACCCAGTTTGAAGCACTTCAAATTTTGCAACAAAATAAGAAAAAAAAATTCCTTCTTGACCCCAAAATGGCAGTCAAATTTATCCTTGGATTTTTGGACCCCGGACCCGAAAACGGACATATCACTGTATGTTTGGGTTGGAGTTCGGTGTTCTGCGATTTAATGGCGCGTTTTGAAAGGCTGCAGGGCAGCCAATCAACAAGCGTTTGACTCGTGTGCCCTTAGAAGCCATCACAGTCATGCCTACTAATGGCTGTGATTGGCCAGTGCAGCATGTGACCCAGGCTCTATATAAGCTGGTTATTTAGTATTATTAAATTATGCCCCTACTCGCTATACCGCGAGTAGGGGCATGTCAATTAAACAGTGAGCAGCCTGTTAAAAAATTTTTTTTTTGCCCTATTGCCCTCCCTGGCCCCCACCCCTGAGTGGTGGGTGGGGGCCCTAAATACCTATTAGGGGGGGACCTATTGCCCCCCAGAGCCTCCACACATGAGCGGTGGGTGGGGGCCCTTAATATCAATAAGGGGGGTACCTATTGTCCTCCCCCTGCCCCCCACCCCTGAGCAGCAGGTGGGGGCCTTAAATAGCAATAAGGGGGGGGGGGACCTACTCATAACTCTCTGATTGGTTACTTTCAATCCACCAATCAGAATCTTGTTATGAGTCAAATTACATAGCGTGGGAAAATTCCAGAGAACTTTCCCACGCTGTGTAAAATGACACAGAGCACTCTGGGGGGGAGGGGGTGACTAGGGATATGGGGACCCCTATACACCTGGAGGGGGGATACATTTTTATTTATGGCCCCCCTGGGGGAGGACATTAGGTCCCCCTCCAATTTATATTTATGGCCCCCACGCTGGGGGGAAGACAGTAGGTCCCCCCCACATTCTTATTTATGGCCCCCACCCACCGCTTAGGGGTGGGGGCCGAGGGGGAGGACATTAGGTCCCCCAATTTTTATTTATGGCCCCCACCCACCGCTCAGGGGTGGGGGCCAGGGGGGAGGACATTAGGTCCCCCCAATTGTTATTTATGGCCCCCACCCACCGCTCAGGGTGGGGGCCGGGGGAGGACATTAGGCCTCCCCCCAATTTTCATTTATGGCCCCCATGTCAGGGGGGGAAGACAGTAAGTCCCCCCTTATTGTTATTTAGGGCCCTCACCCGCTGCCCAGGGGTGGGAGCCTGGGGGGAGGACAGTAGGTCCCCCCACATTCTTATTTATGGCCCCCACCCACCGCTCAGGGGTGGGGGCCAAGGGAGGAGGATAGTAGGTTCCCCTCCTTATTGTTATTTAGGGCCCCCACCCACCACGCAGGGGTGGGGGTCAGAGGGAAGGACAGTAGGACCCCCCTCTACATTCTTATTTAGGGCCCCCACTCGTCGCACATGTGTGGGGGTAATAGTTTTTTTTTTTTTTTTACAGTGAACAGCCACAGGCTGCTCACTGCTTACTAGACATGCCCCTACTCGCGATATAGCACGTAGGGGCTGAATTTACTAATACTAAGTAATCTTTTGGTAGATAGCTTCCTGATACGGTGGGAATTAGGGAGTTATCTACTAAGCGGCTGCTTATTTTATGTTATTTTGAGTTATTTCCCTATCCACATTTGTTTGCAGGGCACTTGTCCTACTCTTACCCCCATTTTACTTCCTTTTGCAGCCCTCTAGCCCTTTCCAGGACTTTTTTAGAGCCATTTTTGTGCCCAAGAGTTTGGGTCCCCATTGACTTCAATGGGGTTCGGCAAGTCCAATCCCGAACACGGACCTTTTTTTCAAAGTTTGGCCGAACCCGAACATCCAGGTGTCCGCACAACTCTGATCCTTGAATATTCTGTTTTTGCAAGTATGCATCTAGTTGCTGTTTGAACATCTGTACGGACTCTGATGAAAAAAGAAGTTGTTGCTCAACAAACAGTATAGTCACCCAGACCACTTCATTTCAATGATGTGGTCCGGGTGCAGTGTCCCTGTCGTAACACTGCAATGTATAACAACGCAGTTTTTGAGAAAGTGCAATGTTTACATTGGAGGGTTACATCCTCCTCTAGTGGCATTTGCTTCCGCTGCACTGACTGAGTAAAACAAAAGCCACATAGTAAATGATTGATTTAATGCTCTGCTGTGGGGAAGTTTGAATGAATGCGCTGCACTTGCCGAGCATGTACCTTAGGTACCCAATGCTTCTTTATGAGATGCATCGGATTGGACATTAGTGGAGGAGGCCATACCGGTCATGCTAGTGAAGGAGTAAGCAACGCTGAGGGAGCCTCAGAGATGGATAAAGGTAAGTAAATAATAATTTATTTATTTTTAATTATTGCAGCAGGGCAGACCGTAAAAAGAGTAGGGAGTGTTAGGAATACAGATTTGTAGCATATTTGCAATTGCTTGTGAAGGTTTTCAGTTAAAGAAAAGTTGTCATGAGAAGTGCACATTAAAAACACCATGCACAATCCCAACCATAATCAAATTTTTATGTCTCATTTATGTGTATTGATATTTTTGTTTTGTTTTTCAGAAAATGACACTTTTTTAATATCTTGCTGTGCAGCCTAATTGAGTTAGACCCTACTCTTACGCGACCAAATGCTGCTCAATCTATTTTATTTTCAGACAAAATGATTTAGCTGAACCAAATTTTTACACCATGCATTGTGCAGTCTGGTTCTTACTAATATCAATATGCTCAGTGATTTGGTGCATGCTGGTAGGCCTCAGTGATTTGGTGCATGCTGGTAGGTCTGAGTGATTTGGTGCATGCTGGTAGGTCTCAGTAATTTGGTGCATACTGGTAGGTCTGAGTGATTTGGTGCATGCTGGTAGGGCTCAGTGATTTGGTGCATGCTGGTAGGTCTCAGTAATTTGGTGCAGGGCCGGACTGGCCCACCGGGATACTGGGAAATTTCGGCATCTGGGGGCTGCGCTGCACATGTGTGTGCCACCGGGTGGCCGGTCCGGTGGCACACACTCTGAGGGGGCCGGTGGGCTGGCAGCTGCATTCCACTCTGGAGCCGCCGGGCCGGGTGGCAGCCTCACCAGTCCGGCGGCCCTCCTCCTGTCACTGATGGCTGAGGAGTGAAGGAGGAGGAGGGAGGAGCATGTCTCTGTACCATGCTCCCTCGCGGCTCCCACAATCCCACACACACCATACATATTCACACACTGCCCCCCATACACACATTGCCACATACACACATTGCCCCACACACCCTACACATTCACACACTACATCCCCCTCACACACATACACTGAACCTTTCACACACACTGCACCCCTCACACATTGCACCACTGCTCCTATACCCTACTACAGCCCCATATCTCAGCAGACCCCAGATAAGTTGTCAAACTGTTCTTAAACGGTTTGACTACTTACTCTGGGAGGGGGTCCCGGCACTCCTGGCACCATAACCACTACAGAGAGCAGTAGTGGTTATTGTGCATGGATTATTTCTTTAAATAATCTACAAGTGCCCCTCCCGGGATCAGGCTCTGGATCCACCACTGGTACATGACATGTATATTAATGTGTATTAGTTTTATTTATATATATATATATATGTATGCTTATTATATTTACACATATATTAATGTACATTTATATATGCATAATCACAGATAAATGTCATTAATATGTACCATTAGTAATGAGCAGATATTGTCCCAGTCTTGTTGCTAGATGCAGACTCCATCACAATAACATATTTAAAGTGAAGAGCGCACCCACAGGACTTCAAAATAAACAAGATAACGTCATTTTTTTACAGTTGTGCCCTACGTACATTCACCATTTCAGTCCCATTACCAAGCTTTCCTTAATATGTCAAGGTAGTTGGACTGAAACATTGATTACATGCAAAGGCACGTCTGCTTAAAATAAATCTGCACTTTTGTTTATTTTAAAGCCTATGAGTGTGCATTTTTTTTACGTTGGAGTAATAATTTTTAATTTTAAGTTCTCTTTTCTAACTCTGTATGCTGGTAGGCCTCAGTAATTTGGTGCATGCTGGTAGGTCTCAATAATTTGGTGCATGCTGGTAGGCCTCAGTGATTTGGTGAGTGCTGGTAGATCTCAGTAATTTGGTGCATGCTGGTAGGTCTCAGTAATTTGGTGCATGCTGGTAGGCCTCAGTGATTTGGTGCATGCTGGTAGGTCTCAGTAATTTGGTGCATGCTGGTAGGCCTCAGTAATTTGGTGCATGCTGATTGGCCTTGGTGATTTGGTGCATGCATGTAGGCCTCAGTGATTTGGTGCATGCTGGTAGGCCTCAGTTATTTGGTCCTTGCTTATTGGCCTCTGTTGTTTGGTGCATGCTGAAAAGCCTCAGTGATTTGGTGCATGCTGGTTGGCCTCTGTGATTTGGTGCATGCTGGTTGGCCTTGGTGATTTGGTGCCTGCTGGAAGGCCTCAGTAATTTGGTGCATGCTGGTTGGCCTTGGTGATTTGGTGCATGCTTGTAGGCCTCGTGATTTGGTGCATGCTGGTAGGTCTCAGTGACTTGGTGCATGCTGGTAGGATTCAGTGATTTGGGGAATGATGGTTGGCCTGTACACAGTGATATAATCCACTACTTCATAGATCTTTTATCTAACCATCTAACCATAGGTGTAGGATGCAGTGGTGGGCAAATCCATCCCAGAAAATCTAGTGGGGTAAGATTTCCCCAGTCATGCCAGTGCAGCTTTTAGACTCATATGTTTTACTTTTTAAGAAAGATTAGAAAAACTAAACATTTTAAAGATGCTGTCTTTCTTCTCTATGTAACTTTCAGAAAATTACAAAAGGGTGCAAATATATCATTGAAAACCTTTATTGAATAATTGATTATCTTTCTGAGAAATAGCATACATATTTAAAGGTAAGGCCAGAAAGCTTATAATCACTATATTCCTTTCTAGTAATAGTCTTCATGATGATGTTTTATCATATTGCCTATAGAGAACTGTGCGAGTTAACACATTAAGGGCAATATATTTGTTATGTATGGAAGTCCAGAGTGGTCATACATTTTTCTGACTTACTATTGCAAGAAAACAACTTGTTATGGCGAGAAAACAATTATCTTGAGAAAACTACTTGTAAATATAACATGTTAGTTTATGGCACTTCCTTGCTTTTATTACATGCGGTCCTTGAGGAAGTCCAAATTTATTGGACAAAATCCGTAGGACCTATAGTTGCTTTTATGTTTATTGGAATAAATATTCTTTATCTCTACAACTAGTGTTCCAGAGTATTCCTGTGGAGACCTTCAAATGAGGAGGTGTGCGAGTAGCCCCCTGGGAAGTCTCAGAGAGGCTTTGAGGCATTATATCTTCAAACGCCTTTTGAATGGAACTGATAACTATGTAACAATTGCAATACTTCACTAATATTTGCATATATATATATTTATTTAATATCAACTGAAAACCCTCTAGTATATTTTTTTTGTTTTCTTGATATAAAAATAATTAAAAATACATGGCTTTATGAAAAGCTGTCCCTCCACCCCTCCTGATTTTCTTTGCTTCGCCAATACATCTAGCCGTCTTTTTTTTCTCTTTGTAAAGAAAATTGTATTACACTGAAAATATTGCCATCTTATCTTATAATATTGAAATGAAAACTCCATACATCTGCTGGGAAAACAATTCCAAACTCATTGATTGCTAAATCTCATATAATCTAAGTTTTCAAAGAGTTTAGATTTTTTGCTGGGCCCCTACTGATTTCTGGAAACTCGGCTTCATTAAATTTGAGGACATTCAAGGCAACAAACACTTTCCTTATTTTTCAGGTTATGAGTTTTACAAAGAACTCCTGACCTTTAACAGAAATAAACAGACCCTTTGAGCTTCCTCAACAAGAACATTAATGGAACCTTAAACACAGCAGCCAATGTAAAACATAAGTTAACGTACTTTCTTGACATAAAAAATAAATGATTAAATGATCAAAAGGAATCAGCGTCAGATCTTTTGTGATGATAATCCATATTCTAGTTTTATTGTAAATTAAATTATATATATTTTTTTTTTGTGGGATTTTGTTTCAGTCGAAATAATTAATGCT